TCGTTTGCAAATCTCTCCATAATCTCATATTTCACATTATTTCAGACATGAGTTTTTTCAACAGATACAATCTCTTCTTTTTTATTGATTAAAGATGAATTTGTGTTATGTTTGCTTAGTTGTATTGATATTCACATGTTTGTTGTTGGTTCTGAGGAACAGTTTGCTAGTGGTTTATGTGTTTGTTTGTGCGTATGGGCCTATACAAGCAGTATATTTATCATTTATGTTTATTCGTCTTTACATATGTGTTCATTTCATGTTTGATGCACTGGGCCCTGTTGAGCAGGTTATGTTGCAATAAATTTGCTTTTCTCAAGAGTGAATGACAATTTTTTAAATGTGGTGCTTTTTAATTTTTTTTTATTCTTTGAGAAATTAGTTTCTGACAGACTATATCTAATATTTGAAGATTTTTAATATCATTCTCGAATTGTAAGGAAACCGCTTAAAAATGATTCGCAATAAGTGTTTCTATTCATATTTAGTCAAGATATTCTTTTAATAATTTCACTTATTTTTTTTCATCTTTATTTATCACGAAAAAATGTTTTCTCTCTTTGTTGTAAAACCACATTCAATCAATTTTTTACCAATAGTCATTTAAATGTTAAAAAACGATTGTTGTTTTAAACAGGAGAATCTGTTTCAAATGCTTGGTTTGGAGTCTGAAATAAAAGTTATCCGAGATGTTTTGGATGAAACTATCACTGGACTGTCAGGTGAGCAAGATGCCTCCATGATTTATTCCAAACGAACGCATGTTTAATGTCATTAACTTCTTTTTATCTATATTTTAGCATTTGATTTATTTTTATCAGTGTGTCTTGTTCATGTTTTTAGCTGATGCAAATGATGAGATGACATTATTTTATCTTTAAAATTATCACATTACGTATGAACGAATCATATGAAAAAAAGAGGGTTAAGATCGAAAAGTTTTGTGCTCGCCTTGTAAAAAGATGCTGATGGTGTGTGATTCTTTTAGTGAAATGAATGTCAAATATGAAAGATGAAGTTCCAAGTGGAGCTGCTGGTTAAGAGGCAACTATTAACTTCTTTTATAAAACATATTCATTGTGAAATTGTATGCCAGTAACATTGGCGTGGGATAAAATAACATTAAGAACGTTGAGAGACGAGGATAGCGAGATTGGAGAGTTTCAGAATTTGCAAGCTATGAAATACTCCAGTGGAATGGCAGCACATATGCATGCAGAACACACTGGTAAGCACATAAAATGTCTATTAAATGAAAAATTTTTTTAAATATTTACCCAGTTTAGGGGGAATGAAATGCAACGACTCAAAATAAATAACTGCGCGAGTTCAATGAAGGGCTTTGTAACAAAGTTTTTATATTTGTGTTTAAAAATGAGCGCTGAAAAATTTCAGGTCATGTTGAAGTGAATTTATTGGTGGATTGGGTCCTGATACATATAGATTGAATGTAACATTTAAAAAATAGACCTATTCTCATTTTTATAACCATTTTCATAAAAAATGTTATTGTCACAACGCAACATTCCAGCGTCAACATTCCACATTCATTCCGTTGCGGAGACATTGTTGATCTTTTTGGATTCCCTGCCCACACCAGTCATTCCCAACAACTTCTACCAGGAATGCCTCAATGCCACAAGTGTTCAGAGTTGTCTCAGGGTTAGTGAAGCGACTGTTTGATTGTCAACTGTTCTATTTTCGTTTTCATCGTTGTTAATGTTGCTATTGTTGCTATTTTTCTTACCTTTGTTTCTTTTGTGCTGATAATAATTTTGTATGTGTTGTAGTTGCTGTCGTTGATGCCGTCGTTTTGTTGATGTAAGTACACTGTTGTGACAATGATAGTATACAAGTGTTAATGATTTGGATGATGATGATTACTGTGATGTGTTTGTTTGTTGTTATAATAATGTTATAGTAGTAGTAGTGATGGTGATAAAAGGGTTTGACAACATAACTTAACACAGCATAACATAAATAATAAATATAATTTCCCAATGCCTCCTACTGAAATAAAAAACAACAGCTAATAAATAAGAAAATAATGGAACAACCTTTTTTATTTGTCAAGCACAAATCCTGTTTTAATTTTTAAAGACGCCCGCATTCTCCCAGCTCTTCTAAATATCTCCAACCCTGTTTAAAAAGTAGAACATTTGCTGTTTGCTGTTGAAGTCCTGAGTTGGCAGTTTGAGTATGCGACACCTTGGTTTCTGATCATTAATTTGGTTTTTTCAGCAACGTACAACAAACAAATAAATCTTAGCATATGATTGATTTTTGATACGTCAATATCAAAGCGTCGCAAGAGCAGGAAATTGAAATGTCCACTGATAGTTCGTATCTTCGCATTTTTAAACATACTTTGAAATGGTAACAAAAACATGTTCGATGTCTCTTATTAACTCCAACGATCATGGCGCCAAAACCCAGACAGCCTACTTATTTGATTTGACAAAAGAATCACAATTGCGTTTTTGTAAATGGTTCAAGTGAAAGTTTAATGAAATGTCTTTGAACCGAACCTAATGTTCTGTTGTATTTATTTGTGATGGATATTATAAATATGGTTGTGGAATTTAAATTTTGATCGAAAAACTCTCAAATCTTTGATGTATTCCACATTATTGATACCACAACCATTTGTTTTATTTTTTTTTGTTGCGGTCCTTCGATCATGCAACTTTCACTCACATGCATTCATCAGCAATCAACTTCGGATTTCACTAATGCTGCTGGGAATGTGATGTATGATGTTGTTGCTGTTGTTGATGATGCTGATGCTGCTGATGATGTTGGTAATGGATTTCATGATGATGATGGTTGGTGGTTGTGAATTTGTGGTAACAAAGTTGGTTGATGTTAAAGATAGTTATGTTAAAATTATATTGATGATTTTCTTTCTCAACTTTGATTTGTGTTTTCTTAACGTTATTTTCAAAGTTTGCAATTATTTCTTTTCTATATTTGCTCAATCTCAATTCATTTCGTCAATTCATCTTGTTCGTCAACTTACGATTGTGTTCAGATATTGAAGCAGTTGCCAGTTGCACACAAGAACGTTTTCAGATATGTCTGTGCGTTCCTCAGGGAGTATCTATCTCATTCTGATAAGAACAAAAGTGATGTTCGCATATTAGGTTTGTTCATTTGTACTTTTTGTTTATGTATTCGTTGGTTTGTTTATCTTCATATATATATATCTTTCTTTATCTTCATACTTGTTTATCAATTAGTAAGTTTGTTTGTATGTTCATACGTTTGTTTTTTACTTAAACTTTATATTTAAAGTGCAAATTTTTGCTTTAACTTGTTCGTTCGTTCGTTCATCCATTTAGCTCAGATATCGGCTTGTAAAACTAATTTGGGTGTGTATATATGTATATATATATAATTTGGGTTCAGACTGTCTTAATAAATGTATATATATATATAATTATATATATATATATATATTATATATATATAATTAAATAAAATATGTATATATATATATATAATGTATTAAAGTACAGTTTTTATATCATATATATATATATATATATATATATATATATATATATATTATTGGTAAACCATTACCCGCGTTAGGCCAGACGTAGTTTCGTCTCTCACGAGACTCGTCAATAACCTGCCGAATAAGGCTTAAGATAACACGACTCAATTATGGTAACCAAGAAACTCAAATTAAGGTGTCGCGACCAAGAGGTAAGAACAACATTGCGTCGTTATAAGGTTTAAGAACCCATTCGGTCGCAAGAGGTATTATTGGTAAACCATTACCCGTGTTAGGCCAAACGTACGTTTCGTCTCTCAGGAGACTCGTCAGTAGCCTGCCGAATAAGGTTTATGATATTATAGATATTATATATATATATATATATATATATATATATATATATATATATATATATATTGGTAATAGACCATAATTTTTACAATATTCTATAAATTCTACCGAATGTTTGGCGTTCACACGTAAAAACGAACTACAAAATGTTAACGCCAAACATTCGGTAGAATTTATAGAATATTGTAAAATATATATATATATATATATATAGAATATAAATTGTTTTTGCTTTATACATCTGATGTGCTGTAGATAATTGATTCTTATGATTTTAAAAGCCATGCATATGCAGACGACATTCAAATTATGTTATCAGGTAAACCGAAGTTATTTCAAGACGAGATTACGAGATTCATTGAATGTATGGCGGAGGTTAATCTGTGGATGTCGAGAAATGAATTGAAGCTTAACCATAACAAAATTTCTTCCTATTGGTACCTGGCAGCAGTTGGCAGACTTAGATATAAATTCAGTTGTTATGAATGATAAAAAAATAGATTTCTGTAAAGCAGTGTCGAATCTAGGTTTTATAATTCATTCAAACCTAACAATGAAATCTCATTTTAAAATGATCTCTACATCATGCTTGGCACAGATTAGAAGAATGAAACAAATTCGAGAATCACTTGATAAAGACGCAATGCAGACTCTGGCGCATGCGTTGGTGCACTCACGTGTCGATTATTGCAATAGTTTATTTTATAGACTCCCGGCTAGATCCATCATAATTCTGCGATGGATACAAAACCGTACTGCCTGGATTGTGGCTGGATGTCGATGGTATGATCATGCCACACTGATCCTGTGTGATTTGCATTGGTTGCCCATAAATAAAAGAATTGTTTTTAAAATCTCTGTCACAGTTTTCAAATCACTAAATGGTCTGGCTCCAAAATATTTATCATATAAGCTGAAATTAAAAACGTCGATCGCATCTGGTGTGCGTCTAAGGTCTGACGATTCGAACATTCTTGTGGTTCCTCATAGACAGCTAAAGATTGGATCGCGTGATTTTGCTGTGTCAGGCCCTGTCGTATGGAACGGCTTACCGTCAGCCCTCAGAATGCCTGGAATGAACATTGCTGAATTTAAAAGACAATTAAAGACATACCTTTTTTTTATAATTCATCTCTTTTCATTCTTGCTATTTTGTTATTAATATTAGTTATAATTTGATAGCGTTTGTGAAAACTGCTATAGCGAACGCTGTATTAAGTTTTCTCTTAGCAATAAAAAATAATATATATATATATATATATATATATATATAATGCTGGAAGGAAATCATAATTGATGCAATATTTGACCAAATCTAACGAATTTTTAGCTTTTGAAAGTTTACGATTGAGCTTTTCAATATTTCTAACAGTAATTTTGTAATTATTATCATCCAATTTATTAATATTAATTAGAAAATCGTTGGTGTCGATGGTGAAGTGCTGAAGATGAGTATAATCGAAATATCGCCCATATACGCTTCACTGTGAACACCAACGATTTTCTATTTAGTTCTAATATATTTGATAATAATTACAAAATTATCGTCAGAAATATTGAATATATTTACAATGTGTGTGTGCGTGTTTGTGTGTGTTTCTGTGTGTGTGTGTGTGTGTGAGAGAGAGAGAGAGAGTTTGTGTTTGTACACAAATAAACTACTTAAGCTTTTATTTACATGCAAATGCCTATGCACATACGCGCGCAAAAGTTTGTTTACCTGTCCACAGGCCTGCCGATTTAGAAATAAATGTATGAACAGACGAAACCCAAGTGTCAAATAATTTGCGGTTATTCACTAATGCTATCCATTTTATTGCAATGTATCTACTGATACAATTCATGTGATGATTTGATTGCATGCTTGGGTTTACATAAATAGATGTGTATGTCTGTTAAGTATCATAGGTACATACATGCATAGGTGTATGTCTCTTCTGTGCATGTGTATTTATGTTTAAGTTTGCGTTTAATAATACTCACCGCATCAGCTCTAGATTTAAACATACATCTCTAAAACTTTTTGCACATTTTTCAGTTTAAATTCAAGAAGTTTCTTTAACCTAAAATTAGTGAACTACAAATATTACTTAATTTCTGCAATAATATTTATGATGTTAATGGTGTTCTGTAAGTCTGAAATATAGTCAATAAGAAGTCTTTCTCCCTAGTCAATAATGACATACAAAATAGCTGTTTTTATTTTCTTTAATATTGGCATTTGTTTCCTTTTCGTCTCGTCTTACTTGCTGCAACTTTATACTCATATTTTGTGAAAATTTAAAAACATATTTTTCAACCAAATTTCACATGAATCTATTCTTAAAATTCATAAGTTAATTATTATATCATCCTTTTTACATTATTCATCTTATTTATGTGTTTATTTCAGATGTGTATATCTATTTTAGTTGTTTGTGAGTATATATGTGTATATGCTATTTAAATGTATGGAAGATAATTTATGATTGTTTTTATTTTTATTTAAATGTTTTTATTATTTTTTAATGCCTTGATATATATAATTTGTGTTCGTGAGTATTATAGTAAGCGGTGTAAATAGATTTGTTGGGTTTGCACATTTGGTCATTTAGTTGTTAGGTGTATCAATTTTGTTTTCCACATCAACAAATCATGTTGTGTAAATTGCGTGTAAGTAAATAAAAAACACATTTGTTTATTCATCTTATACGTGCTTAAAAGGAAAATATTTTTTGTTATCTATTGTTTGTTGCTGTTGTTTGCTGTTGATGTTTGTTGCTGTTGTTTGCTGTTGATGTTTGTTGTTTGTTTGCTGTTTCTTGTGGCTTTTGCAGTTGATGCTCGTTTTTTCGAGTGCTTGTTTATGTTTATTGATGTTGATGTTTGCAACTGCAGTTTGTTGTTTTGGTTGTTTGTTAATGCAATTGTTGTTGTTTTGTTGTTTGTGATTGTTGTTGTTGGTGTTTGTTGTTTCGGTTGCTGGTTGATGTTTGCCTTTTGGAGGTTGGTTGTTGTAGTTGTTTGTTATTAATGTTTGTTTTTGCCATTTTGGTTGCCAGTTGTTGACGTTGCTCTTATTGTTGATGTTGTTTGGTGTTGATGTTTGTTGCTATTGTTGTTGATGTTTGTTGTTGTTGTTACTGATTTTTGCCGTTGTAATGGTTGCTGTAAGCGTTTGTTATTTGCTTGCTTTTGTTTGCTGTTGATGTGTGTGGTTGATTATATTTGTTGATGCTGTTAGTTGTTTATGTTTGTTGCTGCTATTGTTTATCCTTAATGTTTGTTGCTGTTTGTTGTTGTCGTTGTTGATGTTTGTTGTTGTTGATATTTGTCGTCGTTAAGGTTTGTTGTAGTTTGTTGTTGTTGTTATTTGTTGGTTTTTCGTTGTAGTTGCTTATTATTTGTTGACACTATTGACATTGTTGTTTGTTGTCACTCATGTGTTTGAAGTGGTTTTTTGTTGTGTTTGGTAATAATTTTGGTTGTCATTTTCTTTGTGAATAATGAAACGAATAATGAAACAGATTTCATTATTCGTTTATTACTGTTCTATAGTTCTTTTTCATATCATCGTTTATTTTAGACATCTGATGAAAAAGATGATAACGAGGCACAGGCACATTGTGCGAATGTATGAATATTTAAATTTCATTTAAATGTTATTAACGTCAATGGCTGAAAGTTACGAATGCAATGTACGTTTGAAAAGCTCTTCAGTCAACACATGCTTACAAAAACATGTTTCCGACTCTAGTCACACGTGTACTTTATGACGTCATTAAAAAGCTTCACCTCTCTACAACAGCACTACAATACGGTTGCTTCATTTAACAAATGAAACTCTTCATGAGACAATATTCAACAAGAGGAAGCAACGAAAAATCGTTTACAACTTTGCTAATGGTCATTGATAGCGGAATGTATTGAAGCTCATACATGTCTTTCTAGATTCACTTTGTATTATACTTTCTCATCAGAGAGCACGTTCCGTACACTTCTACAAAACACTCGTTATGCACGCAAAGATAAAAATACATTTGTTTTCATTTGCGTAGGCATCCACATACGTGCACGCACACGCACCAACAACAGAATTTTACGTTACTGTACATTAACATATACGTTCCGTTCGCACTTTCACACAAGCGCACACTTTGAACACTAAACTTTTATTGTTACCGACCGGCAACGACATCCACAATGTTCTCACTTGGAGCCAGATTCGCACTGACGACAATCCACCGACTGTTAAACTGTGCACACACTCGGTTGTATTCGTTTGGCAACCAGTTATGTTTTACTCAAGTAAAAGTATAATTAAAAGTAAATTGACTTTTTTTACTCGAGAAAAAATAAAAGTATAAATAAGTTGATTTTGAAAAGTAAAACTTTAAGTGAAGTCATATGAATGCTTTGCAAGTAAAAGTAAAGTAAATTGATTTTTTTGTTTTTTACAATTTATTTTTACTTTTGCAAATATTTGGCCCTACAATATTTTTTCAAAAACAATAAACAGTGGCAAGTCACGTGCTTTCGTTTTCGTTGTTCTTTGCTTATGGTAGTAATAATAATAATAACAAAAAAGTTTAAAGTGGTTCAGCAGACCAGCATCTGTGTAAGAACCACTACAAAATAAATGTTCTAGTATCCTAGCTCTCCTAGCTTGATTTAAAAATTGTTGATTGAATCCACTGAGACAGTTTCATCACTCAGCTCGTTCCAGGCGCTTACCGCCCTGCTGCTGAAGAATCTTGACTTTATTGGATTTTAAGTCTTCTTGAAGAGCTTTTATCTATGACTTTTTAATTCTTTCCTTTTTTCTAGTTGAAAGAACCTGGTAAACGATGTTTCTTCTTTTCCAGTTATTAACTTATATGTCTGAATCAGATCTTCTCTGCATCATCTCCTTTCTGGTTGTTAATCCGCATTCTTTCAGTCTATCTCTATATTCTAGTTTTCCAATTCCTTCGATCATTTTCGTTGCTCTACGCTGTACCCGTTCAATGAATGTCTTTGTCCTTTTGCAAATCTGGACTCTAAGCCTGTGAACAGTACTCGAGATGAGGGTGAATTACTGTTTTATACAAATTTATAATGATCGACTTTTTTTGCTCACCACCGTTCTTTTAATACATCAAAGTATTTTATTTGCTTTGGCCGCTGCCAAAATACATTGTCTTGATGTTTTCGTGCTTTTGTGAATAGTGATTCCGAGGTCCTTTTTTCTTTAGATAGAAGTTCCTCACTGCCCAGTTGATATTGAAAGCCTTTGTTCTTTCTTCTCATATGCATAACTTTACATTTGTTATGTTAAATAGCATTTGTCAATCTTCAGACCATTTGTATAGTCTTGTCAAATCTTGTCTTAGTACTGCCGCATCTTCCTCGTTGTTGACCCCTGCACACAGCTTCGTGTCGTCCGCAATTTTTTTATATCTTTAACATTATGCCTGAATCGATATCATTAATGTAGATAACAAATAGTCGAGGGCCCAGCACTGAACCTTGAGGAACTCCACTTATGACGCTAATCCTATTTGAATTCTTGTCTCTGATCCGCACTTGTTGTCTTCTGTTCTTTAGCCACTTAGTAATCCATTAAAGCAAATTTTCAGATATCCCACATATCTGTAGTTTTTTAACAAGTTTTTAACAAGTCCAACAAAAACTGACTCCCAGAAAAGTTTTTAGCTTTTACATCATAATTTTACTTAAGTATTACTACTAAATAAAAAATACTTAAAAAACACTTGTAATCAGTCAAAGTAATTGTTTTTCTTAGTAAAATTACTATATTTTTATGTTTCAAGACATACTGAAAGCATTTATTTTCAGCAGTAAAGACGATTGCATATCACTACACATCTTTTAAAAAGAACGATGTTAAAAAATATTTTCAGAATAAAAAAAAAAAATTCATAACACTTTCAGGAATAGGAGTGGGATAAAAAATATCCGACTACGACTCCTGCGCCACAAAAAATTTCGACTCTGGTAAAAATCCACAACTTTGACACTCTGTTACCAACTGTCAGTATCTCCAAAGAAATTTCAACTCTCCATTTCAATGTTATGCTCCGCAGTATAAAGCACGAGACACACTCAGGCAATAAAAAAACACGCCTGAGTGTATAGGCTCGTATTTTTTTCTCTCTGTTTGTAAGCATGTTTTATGACAAAAAATCTTTTTTGTTCCATGTTTTGTATTTAATATTCATCTGTGCTTTTTAAGTTCTTAATTGATTCGTTTTTCAGTTTATAAACTAGCTTCAGCTACGTTTTTGAGTTATTTTTGTTTAAAATTATATGTATTGATTATCATTTCAACAGCATTTGTAACTGGCAATATTAATTTGTTTCTGTTGTTATAGATTGCAGCAATATTCTAAAAAAGAAGTTAATTGCTTTGGACATTTTTTCAGTGGATATTGATGCTTTTTATACATTTCTTTTAGTCGTTGAATTATTTTTAATTTTTAATTAACGTTGTGTTTCCATAATGTTAGTTATTAGCCTTAATTTTGTTTAGTTGATTTTTGATACGTTTTTTGCGCTGTCGTTTGTTATTGTCTTCCTCATAAACTCTCTCTTTCTTTTCTCTCTCTCTCTCGTTATCTTGTTCTCATAAATATCACTAGTTCTTCATCATTTAATCTTTCATGCCGCTTATATTTTCATGAGACCAGTTTCTCTTTTTTTTCTACTGCAGCATTTGTTCGGAGGTGTCAGTTGTTACCGAACACGTGCCAAATGCTTTTGTGATTGTTCGTTATCATAATCATACTTCATTTCTCGAGTTTTGTTCTCAGCCGTGTTGTTTCCATTTTGAACGTAAATTTATTTATCTTCATTAATAATAATTTTTATTTTCATCCATATTTCCATTGTCATGCCATAATTATTCACAAAAGTTCAACGAAACACCATTTTTGAAACATCATTCCTGCCATCCAAACACAAACACCACCCTTCATGTAACCTCCCTCCTCACCTTCTCACCTCACAAACAACAGCACATGTCTTCAGTGGCGTGCTCTTGAAGCCGCCGGAGTCATCCCAGCAACTACTTCAGCAACAACAACAACATTTGCAACTACAACAACAACATCTGCAACAAACTGGTAAGGCTGCTCAGATGATGTTAGCTGCTGAAGAAAGCAACAGGAAGGCACTCTTCATTCAGCAGTTTCTGGAAAACATCATCGAGTGAGTATACGAATGAGTGGGTGAACGAATGAATGAATGAATGAGTAAATGAGTTATTGAATATAAATGAATGAATGAACAAATTGAATGATTGAATGAAATGATTCAATGAAGTAAATGTACGGGTGAAGAAGTGAACATGGTGGCAGGCGAATGAATGGCTCCGTAAGCTGTTGAATTATTTTCCTGTTCGGTTAGATGCGGGTGATACATGATGTTGCATGCAATTTTATTTTTTCATATTTTCAAAAACCACTAAGATGATGTAAGTGATGATGGTGGTGGTGATGATGATTGAAAGACTGAGATGATATGATAAACATAATATAAATGAAGAATTTTGTGCGATTCTACCAAGTGACCATTTCGTGACAAAAAGCCTCCGCCATCGTCTAGACCAACTAACCTCTGTATAACCTTGATGGTGACGACGACGATGATGACTTCGATGGTGTCGATGATAATGGTGACATTAATGATAAAGATGATGGTAATGATAGAGGTGGCGATGATGGCGAAAACGAAAACTCGCGTCTCAGTTATTTGCCTTCGTATGACCGTTGACACGCGCCTAAACAAATTGTGGCATCGGCGAGTTGAGATTTGTGTCGATAGTTGCTGGAGAGGAAGACTTGTTGCAAGTTGCTTTCTGCTGTTTCTTTTTTTCTTATTTTTCTTAGAGTTAAAAACTCGAATGTTGAAAATGCCATCGCATGCTAGAAGAAACATGAAACGACGAAAGAATGAAATATCATTTTGATGTTAAATATAATTGATTTGTTAATAAGTCGGCGTATGAAATATCCTTGGTGACCTAACGGGCTACAGCAGTACTGAATGTTTATATGGATTTGTGAATATGCATGTTCAGGAAGGTGAGGGTGAGGGTGATAACGTGAGACGACTAGATATGGAGGGTTTGTTAAAGAGAAGACATATAGATGGATCATTTTAATAATCCGCATTTTCTGTGCGTTTGTCTGTGTAAGTGTGTGTTTGTGTCAATGAGTGTGTGTTAGTCTATACGTGTTTGTGTCTATGTGTCACTAAGTTTGTGTGTGTCTCTGTACATTTGTCTGCCTGTGTTTGTTTTTGTACGTAAATAAGGTTTACTAAATAAATATGTGAATTAATGAATGAGTCAATGAATCAATGAACGGATAATTAGATTAGATGGATGGACGAATAAATTAATTTAGATATGCATGAATGGATACATGAATGAATGCATGAATGAATGGATAGATAGATAACTTATTGGACGGACGGATGGGTGGATGAACGAATAGATGTGTCAACTGACTTTGAGATTCTTTTAACTGACTTGACCAGTCACATACATAGATATAGAAAGCTACTAGAAGAGTCACCTTTTTAACATCGCGGCTATGTGGCTATTAATTATTTCTGTTTGTTCTTCGGAGTCTGTAGTTGTTACTGTCCACTTTTCAAGAGCCAT